TCTTCCGAGCGCTTTCTGTGGATTAACTTATTTACTCCTCCTCACAGCAACCCTAGGAGGTAAGAACTATTGTTATCCTCACTTGAGGATAACTTAGCTCTGAAAGGCTAAAGGGTTGCCCATGGTTGCACGGCTGGTGAGTGGCAGAGCCGGATTTGTACCCTGGAGGCCTGACTCCGGCTCCCGCGGTCTTAACCGGCACCTTATACCGCAGCCTGCCGGTCAGTGTCGGTCTCTTAGCACGACTCAGTGAGGATGTGAATTTCCTTCCCTCAGGTCTAGAAGTCCGTGGACAGCCACCGCGCCTGAGGAGTACAGATCCAGCCCTGAGCTGGAAGTCAAGTGAACCCGTGGATGGCGTCAAGTTTCAGGAGGCTTTTGTTCCCGGGAACATATGGGTGCTTTTTATTACCTGGACAGAAAGGTTTTGACATAGGGCATTTTCACTAATAAGGCAGAGGTGCAACCGGCTGCATCTTCTAGGATGCTTTTATTTTTCAAAGAACTATTTTGATGTTCACTGAGCTCGTGTGTAACTCCTCTGAAGGACTGCGTATGGAGCAACTGACATCCCAGCATCTTTGTTCTGAGGATTTTCTAAAGTAGTGAAAGACATGATGCCTACCTGCTGCATAACTTACAATATGGAATTCATAGGAAGAAATTTTTATAGAGTATTTCAATGTATGAAATATGGTAAAAATATGAATATTTTATATCCTTAACTTAGTTTAGCATTCTTGGCTTTTTAAATGATATGCACAGCAGCGTGTATTTGAAAGTGATACATTTTCATATGTTTCTTGGGATTAGTTTTAGAGAGGAAACTTGCAATCGTAGCACCAGAACTGAACAAAGGCAGGCCACCAACCATGAGAGGAGGACGGGATACATCGTCATAGTGCCATCTCATTACAGAGGAGACACTGGACCAAGGAGGAAAGTCCTGTCTGAAGAACCCTCACCGCTAGAAAGTGGTGGAGCTGGGTTCCAAACATTGTTTGTTGATCAAATGGGTGAAAGAAGGAAGACATTTAGGAAAAGAAAATGAGTCCTGCAAATGGCTTCTCATCTAGCATGATTTAACAAAGGGCCAGCATATTCTAAATAGATGAACATCAACTAACTGCTGAAATTAAAAAATCGATTCTCTTACATCCCTCCCATTTATATTTAATAACTTTGAATATTTCTATATTTCATTGACTTGGTAACACCTTATAAATAACCCTTGCATGCAGTAAAAACATTTAAATGGAGACATGAAAACTAAGGAGAAATGAGGCAGAAGGGACTAGGGAGGTGGAGAATGGGTGTCCCTCCAGACAGAGGGAATAGCATGTGCAAAAGCCATGAGCTGTGAAGGAGCTTAGGATTTTTAAGGAGCAAAGAGGTGGTCAGTGTGATCTGAGTACAAAGCGAGCTGAAGCACTGCAGGAGACAAAGCTAAAAGGTGGGTGCGACCAGACCCTTCAGGACCTTGTAGGAGTTTTGAACATAATCCATTATAGAGGAAGTGACATGGTAAGATTTGCATTTAAAATATCACTGAAACTGTAAAGAGTGGATGGTAGAGTGGACAAGGTGGGGCTACAGGAAAACCAGTTTGGAACTGTTGGGGTAGTTCAGGTGGGATATTTTGATGGCTGGTGGGAGAGTGCTGGCAGTGGGGGAGGTGAGAAGAATTAGATGTATGCAAAAGAGATTTAGGAGGTAAAATCAACAGGACGCGCTTTCATTCAGTTCATACAAAAGAGGAGCCTGAGTTTAACCAGAGGCTTAAAACAGAGATGCTTTTACCGTCTTCCTTGTAACTAGGAGCATGCATGTGATCTAGTTCTGACTTATGGGGCTATAAGGAAGACTTCTGGAAATGTTTCTTCCTAAATACAGGACAGAGGGCTCCCCTGGTGGCACAGTGGTTGAGAATCTGCCTGCCAATGCAGGGGACACGGGTTCGAGCCCTGGTCTGGGAAGATCCCACGTGCCATGGAGCACCTGGGCCTGTGAGCCACAATTACTGAGCCTGTG